TGGGTTAAAACAGACCAAGTTCCCCCAGGCACCCCAGTTGAAGGGGTACCTTTATTTTTTTTAACGACACCTCCACTTCCTACCTGTTCCTTTCCATTTCCAGGCTGCCAATTTCTAACCGCAATAGTGACTCTGTGCTTGTCTGTTTAGTTCTGTGTATAAATGGAATGTTGTGGAGATGACCCCTCCCCATGCTGGCTGGTTCCCATCCCCTTGTCCCCTGGTCATGCCCACTTGAGTCAGGGCTACCCAGGAATCTTCCATTTAAAACAAACAAACAAAAAAAAGTCAATAATAAAAAAGTTCACTAATAGGGTGCTTGTTTCAGGCTTGGGGCCCAGGAGAGCTTAGAGGGTGGTGGGCTAGAAGGACAAGCCACCTGGCCCCCGGCCCGCTCCACGCGTCTTCAGCTGCCTCACTGCCTGGCTGAGTCCCTTTCTGTAGGTGGTGCTGTGTTGGTGCCACATTGGCTGTTCAGCGGATGGCAGAGCCAAGGGTGTGTCAGCCGCACAGGTCCCTTGAACAGAAATGATCTCAGGCCTGAAATGGGCGTCTCTGGCCTCACCCGGGTGGGCACTAGAGCCTGTGGGCTGTGAGGTTGCTTCCGTGGCACAAGTTGGCCTGGTAATCTGTCTCCACCTGCACGGTTTTCTCCCTCTGGCGTGAATTCATAAGGGCAGAAGACGAGTTACAGGACTTCGGTGAGTCAGAGGCTAACTTGGGCCTTTGGCCTTGCAGGTGAACCTGGAACCCCTTCAGGGTGGGGCCCCCAGATGAAGCCTAGGACTTCAGACTCACTGTCTTTCGCCCCACCTGTTTAACCAAGAGGGTGTGGGCCAGGTCAGAGCCTTGTCCCACAGTGCCCGCACTTGGGCTTTTACCTGCCCAGTAGGTGAAGGTTTCCAGGAAGCCTTGAGTGGGATAGATTGAGGGTGGTGATGCAGCGTTCATCCTGCCTGCAAGCAGCTGAACACAGCTAGTTCCTAGGAGTGGTCATCAGCTTTACTTGGGAGGCAGGAAGTAGCTGAATGCTGTTAGAAAAAGAACAGCTGGAGCTCTTAAATTGGTTCTACATTTATGTTCCAGAAAGGATTGTGGGTTTGAAAGCTGCTTCAGGGTTTCCAAAGTCTTACTCTTCATCTTCCTGTGGAGATCCTATGGGAGCTTAGGAGAAACTGCTAAGGAAGCAGCAGGCTGTCCCCTCGTGGCCCTAGGATCTGGTCTTCACAATGCCCTGGTAGAGTGGGCCCAAGTGTGGGAAGTGAGAACACAGCAGGCCTCTTAGAAAACCAGACTCTTTATTTGGCTAGGAGGATGGAGGGGTGAGTGCTGTGTTTTTGGGGTGGCAGGTGGGTGGGGAAGGCAAGGCCTTTGAAGCTGCTATAGCCCAGGGCTCTGCTTACCTGTGCCCAGGTACAGTTCTCTGTTGCCCCTCTTGCAGGGCTGGGCTTAGATTTGGGAGCTGGGGACCAGTATGCCTAGTAGCTAACAGCTGGGGAGGGGCTTGGGGAACTTGGCAGTGGAGACCTCGGGCAGGAATGGACTGCAGTCTTGATCTAAAGATCCCCCTTGAGGGCAACAAGGGTGTTCTGGAGCAGCAGGGTGCTGGCCTGGAGGGAAGAGAGGTCCATGGTGGTCACCTGCCCTTGCCCTGCTCCCTGAGGTGGACATCTGGAACCCTGGACGGCATGCCACACCCTGCCATTTACTGAGGATTGTTGCCAGCCTGAGACTGGCAGGGGCTGGACATCAGCAGGGGCTGCTCGTGAGCTGCTCTCTTCCTCCTGACCACCCCCAGGCTGGGTGGGGAGGCTGGAGGCTCACCCTGGCATGTTTGAGCTCCAACTCTGCCAACTCAATGAGGTTCTTGCGGAAGGAGGAGACGCGGCGGGACTTGAAGTCCATAAGCTCTGGGGAGATGAGGGAGACGTGGTGACCTGGCAAGGGAGGCAGCCCAGTGCCAGGGAGCTTGGGAACCCCGGCTTACCCTGCTTGGCTGAGTCGGAGAGGCGCTCAAAGCGCTGACAGCACAGCTGCTGGTGACTTTCTGCAGGATGCACCTCACGGTTCCTGGTGCGGGCCTTGTCCAGGGCCTTGTTGGCATTCTCGTAGTCAGCCAGTGCCCTCAGCCTCCGGTACAGCAGGTCCTGGGCCGGCATGGGCACCGTCAGTGCTGCCTGCAGCCCTCACCACTGGCCTCCAGCCCTGAGGGTGGCACTGGCCTAGCCTCTCACCTTGGCAGCCTGGGAGTCCCTCATATGGTACCTCAGCATGTCTGACAGCTTCAGGTCCTCATCAGAGGCCACTCTGCCCTCGAGCTTCTGTTGAGTAGGTGGGGGTTGGGGAGGAAACTTACCAAGACGGGGTCTCTCTCTCCAGCACAAACAGAACTAACAACCCGCAAGAGCAGGGACAGGTTAGCCTTCACAGAACGGGCATCTGACCTGGGGACTGAGGAGTTAGACACAAGCCATAGACTGGCCGGTGGCATAGAGGCTAAGCGTTCAGCTACTTAGAACCCAGCAGCTGCTCTGTGAGGAAAAACAAGGCTTCTATCACAACAAAAATCCCTAGGTGGCCGTTCTCTGTCCTCCAGGGTTGCTGTGAATAGAAATTGACTGGATGCAGTAGGGTATTCTTATAAACTTGGGGAACCAGAAGTTCTTGGTGGGGACTGGAACAAGGCAGTTGTGAGAAATAGTAGCCAATCACAAAAGGCCTACAATGCAAGCTGAGGACTCGGGGCTTTGTGCTGGGCATTTTCTGGAAGAGGTAAGGTCGCTCAAGAGCCTTAGGCAAGGAAGAGAGGCGATCCAAGAGGCATTTCAGAAACATTGGCACACTCGATGGAGTTTCTTGGAGAAGAGTTCAGGAAGTGGGTGTCTGGGGCTGGATGTTGGCAGTAGGGTGCAGCCTGCCAGATGCACGTGGCACATCCTTATTTGTACCTCACCAGCCCTACCCCTTGCCCTCTCACTCCCATTGCCACAGACACTCAAGGGTTCCTGCCACTGTTATGCATGCCTGGATGTATTGGTCCAGGGTCTCACTGAGCCTGAATGACTACTGACATTCCCCTCTCCCAGGCCTCATTCTTGGATTGGCTCACCACGACCTGCCAGTTCTGAATGTGAACTCACCCGTAGTCGTTCAAAGAGTTCAGCCAACTTGAGAAAGCTCCTAGGAGAAGAGGAGGTTAGGGCAAAATTTGAGGGGGCTGTGCGGTGCCCCCATCCTTAGGCTCTCCTAGGAGAAATTGCCCCTCCTCCCCCAACCCTAGCAGGCAGTCCTGCATCTCCAAACTAAGGGGCTAGAGAGTGACCCCTCACGGCCAGACCCGGCATTGCAGGCATAGGGAGCAGACTGGAGGGGTGAGGGGGACACGCACGTTTTCAGCTGGTTGACTTCCTGCGTTCCCAGACTGCTCAGTGCAGCTGAGATGGGGATATAGTCATCTGCCAGACCTGAAAGGGAACCTCCACCATCAGAGCCCACGATCTGTTCATCAAACCCCACCTCTGTTGCCTGTGGCCATGGATGGTATAAGGCAGGCCCTGCCCTCCCTCCCCTCCACCAGGACCTAGGACCTCTGGGAGGCGGGCATATCCAGTGCCCCCCGCCCCAGCATACACTTGTGGGAGCGCATGACTCGGTCTGCCCGCTGGCAGGCCTCCCGGATGTGAGTGTGATACTCCAGCAGGAAGGTTCTCTCGTGCTCGAAAAAGTCATCCACCTCCTGTGGGAGCCAGACAGGATCTCACAACCAGGTCCTGGGCACGGCAGCCACAGGCACCTGGGGGTGTCAATAGTCCTCCAGCCCATTCTGGGTCCTGATCTTGACTCTGGACTTGCAAGGGGTCCAGGGTTACCTTGAGCCCTGACATCCCGGTGATAAGGGCTTCATCTGCAGACTTCACAATGTTTCTCAGGAAACCCCCTAGCAGCTCCTTCCGGTTCTTCCCACGGACACTGAGCTGAGGGAGGGCGAGAGCGTGGTGTTAGGGGACATCTCCCATCTCCCCGCATGCACATCATTTGGAGACCTCCAGCCTCCTTCAACCCTACCCACCCTCTCCATTCTCACTTCCAAGCCTCTGCACCCCACTCCAGGGTGACCCCACTGCCTAGAGTTAGCTCACGTCCTGGCCATATTCCAGAAAGACGAAGAAGTTGTGATCTTGACGCAGGGTGGGATGGGCTGCCAGGCGCTGCAGAAAGACTTCGTGCATGGCCACTGTCTTCTTAAAGATCGCCAGGTATTCCCTGGAGGAACAGTGTGCGGTGGGTGGACCCGCCTGTCCCCCCTTCAGTAGTCCTGGGGTCAGAGGTCAGTGTTGGTCAACCTTGGGTCCAGGAAGAACTGAGGTGGGGGCTGCCGTTCCGGGGAGGGAGTCTGCTACCAGCAAAGAAAGAGGCGCACTTACGCTTCCAGCTCCTGCTTCATCTTGGCAAACTCCTCCCTGGTGATGGAGCTGTCCCCCTCACCCAGCTTCTGCAGCTTTTCCCGAGATGCCTCAAAATCGGGCCTTGGAGGGGCTGGGGGAATCTGCTCAGAGAAGGGGCATCGCTGAAGGCCTTTGAATACTTGGGGGCCACTGCCACCCCTGCCTGCTGCCCGCCCCCTTACGATGAGGCCGGCGTAGTCCTCGTTATCCACATAGGCGTCGTGCAGCCAGATGAACTCCTCGTGCTGCCGCACCACTGAGAACTCAGTCTGGGCGAAGTGAGGGAGGCAGCTCTGGAAGTGGGGGGGCACATCAGCTCCAGCCCTCGTGGTACCGGGCTCCCACCTGTGATCTCCCCACCCCACACCCAAGGTGAGGCTCAAAGGTCTCTGATTTAATGCAAGATAGAAGAAAAGAGCTGGTTAGGAGTTGAGGCCTCAAGCAAAGATAATTAAGGATGCGACAACATGTCTACTTTCTAAGAGGCCCACAGCCGGTCAAGGCTCCCCTTCAGGAACAGGGTGAAAGGCTAAGCTGGAGATTGCTCCCCACCAATTGAAAGGGGGACCAGCAGCTGAGGAAGCATGCGCCTCTGGATCTTGAGGCCTCCACACTCCATGCAGCCTCACCTTGGTTTGAACAGTGAACTTGACCTTGTCTCGCTCGCTCACAGCATCAGAGATCTCCACCTGTAAGGCACTGTCTGCTTGCAGGTCCATGGAGAGGGAGGAGGGCTGCGGGAGAGGGAGGCCCCGATGTATGGTCACTGTCCCATGCCAGTCCTCACACAGGTTGCCCCCAGGACATAGAGAGGTCACTGCTCAGGACTTTAAAACTGTCAGAACGCTTTCACATCTTTCCATCCTCGGAAGCACGAGGAGACCCCTGTTTTATAGCTATGGAAGCCAAGACCACCAGAGAAGTGAGGTTTTTGCTTAGCATCACATAGGTCCCAGGGCAGGAGCCGACCCAGACTCTGATGCCAAACTCCATAAATTTTCATAGACCTTCTCTGTGGACAACTCACCTTCATCCCAAGGTGGGTGTCAGCATTTAAAATAAGGTGGATGAGAAGGCCCCACCTCTTGTTAGGGGTTCTTGAAACCATTCCATATGGGACTTTGTGATGCCAAGGGCATCGGCTTTGTAGACCGAGCACCGTACTTCTCTAAGCCCACTAGTGATGTGAGCACCAGGCTGCTGGTTCGTTCTTGCTCTAAGAATGACCGTAAGCCTAACCTGAAGTGATCCAACTAACACTGACCACTTGATGTGTATACACAGGGAAGATGCGTAAAAGCCACTGTAGCTCAGGGAACTCTGGTGGCCTAGTGGCAAGAAGCTGCACTACAATCCCAGAGGTATGCAGTTAAAATCCACCAGATGCTCTGCTGGAGGAGGGCCAATCTCCTCCTCTACCAGTCAGATCCAATTTGTTATGATTAACACAAAAAATAATAACATTTAAAAATTTTTTTAAAAAGCCTCTCTAGGTCAAGCTTGCTCACCCTGCACACACACAGGGCACCTGCTCAAAAGGCATCTTCATGACAGATGGAGAAGAGGCTGGATCCACAATCAAGACCCAATGCAGGAGTCAGGAAATCAAAGGACTCAAATCCACCAGATGCTCTGCAGGGGAAGGAGGGACAATCTCCTCCTGTACCAGTCAGATCTGATTTGACGGTACACTCACACAAAAATAATAAAATAAAAATTAAAAAAAATCAAAGGACATGCCACAAGGAAATCTGCTATCAAGGACCGCTTTAAAATGCTAAAGAACAAGGATGTCAGTTCATTTTATGTATTTCTATTTTAAATTTTTTATATATGTAAAATAAGAGTAAGAGCAACTCAATAGCAACTGACAACAACAACAGCACAAGGGAAGGGAGTGATCTGTTGTTCACAGGGTTGATAGGAGTTTTAGTCACCTTGGCAGCATCTAAAGCCAACAGCTCCTCCTCCCCCACCCATAGATGGCCTCAGGCTCTCCTCACCAGCTCAGCACACGGGGGAATGGGACTGGCTCTAAAACGGGGTTCTGTGATACAGTCCAGATACACAAAAGGTCTTGCCAAACAACAGCATCCATTGCTGGTCTGATGATTTCTCTCGTCTGAGATGCCCGAATGTCCCACTTCTTGGCTGTCACGTAAAAAGAGGAGCTGATGCTGACATGCTACAGGGCTAACTCTGCACTGACTCCCTTTCTAGCTTCTTAAATCAAGGTATAATTTACATATAGCATAGTGCATGACTCTTAAATGTAGAGCTCACTGGATTTATGCATATGCATTATGCAGATGACACAACTTTGCTTGCCAAAACTGAGGAGGGCCTGAGACATTTGCTGCTGAAGGTCAAGGACTGCAGCCTCCAATATGGACTGAAGCTCAACATCAAGAAAACAAAGATTGCCACCACTGGGCCACTTGGCAGCATCATGATAGACAGAGAAGAGATTGAGATTGTTAACACCTTCAGCTTGGTTTGCTCTCCAATCAACAGTCTTGGTACCAGCAGCCAAGAAATCAAAAGATGAATTGCATTGGGAAAATCTGCTCTCAGGGACCTCTCCAGAGTACTAAAGAGCAAGGATGTCAGTATAGAGACTAAGATGTGCCTGATTCAAGCCATGGTCTTCGCAATTATTGCTATGTATTAGAGAGCTGGACAATGACTAAGGATGATAAAAGAAGAATTGAATCGATACTTCTGAGTTGTGTTGCTAGAGAAAAGTATTGAACATACCGAATGGACTGCTAAGAAATAAACAAGTTCGTCTTAAAGAAGGCTGTTCCTTGGAGACAAAGATTCTGAAGCTCTGTCTCACATACTTTGATCATGTTGCCAGGAGAGACCAGTCCTTGGAGAAGCACATCATGCTTGAAGGGGTGGAGGGACACTGTAAGAGAGGTGGACCGTGGATGAGATTGACTGACTCAGTGACCGGAGTAATGGGGGTGGGTGTGTCAGAGACAATGAAACTGGCTCAAGACAGAGCAGGGTTCAGAGCTGTTGTAATTAGGGTCACTATGAGTTTCAAGCGAATTGATGGTACATAACAAACAACAACATAAATCAGCTGCTGTTGATTCCAGCTCATGGTACTTTCAAGCGTGTCAGGGTAGAACTGTGCTCCACAGGGTTTTCAATGGCTGGTTTTTCAGCAGATTTCCAGGACACCTTTGCATGCCAACCTTTCAGTTAGCAGCCAGTCAAATGAACCATTTCTACCACTGTTGTTAAGTGTCGTCGAGTCGTAGGCGACTCATAGTGACCCTATCAACGAAAGTCCTCAACACTTGTGTGACTTTCATCCTTTCTCCAGGTTCGTAAGATTTCTGGAGGCAAGCTAGTACAGAAGTGGGTGCCACTCCGGTTTCCATTTCTACCACTAGTCATTATAAATCAGAATTGGCTTAAAAGCAATTGGTCGTAAATGTGTATATATCTTTGCAACTTTCAGTTACATAAAAATATCCAGATCCCAATACTCCAGAAAGCTCCCTCTTTCCGCTGCCTCAACTAGTCAATTATTTCGCCAACCCAGACCTAAACACTATCAACATCTACCACCATATATTAGCTTGGCCTGTTCTTTACCTTCATGTACATGGAATTACAGTGTATACTATTTTTTTTAAAATTTTATTTTATTTTATTGTGTGCGTGTGTACCATCAAATCAGATCTGATTGGTACGGGAGGAGATTGTCCCTCCTTCTCCAGCAGAGCATCTGGGGGATTTGAACTGCACACCTCTGTGATTGAAGTGCAGCTTCTTGCCACTAGGCCACCAGAGCTCCCAGTTGTTGTTGTTATGTGCCATCGAGTCGCTTACGACTCATAGCGACCCTATGTACAACAGCCCTAAACTCCGCTCTGTCCTGTGCCAATCGCACTGTCTCTGACACTCCCATCCCGATTA